GGTGTTCTCAATACATAGGATTGATGAGAAACCAGATAAGCAATGGGACTTGCCCCGAGTGGCCATAGATGCTTTAGGTGCTGCAATGCTCGTCACTATTATACTTGACTGGTGGCGCATTTTTCTCGGCCCTATTGTTCCTATTCCAGATTCCAAGCAATGCCTTCAACCCGGATTGCCATGGTTTCCCAGAAATGCCTGAGTTGATTTCACTGGTCTGGATGAGCCAGTAGAAATGGAAGTTTACATTTCTTCCTGTTCAATTGATTTCAGACGTATTTTCTTAGCTTCTTGTTGTAACTTTAGTCGAACATCCCCGTCAGCATAGATGCCCGATCTAAATGTATCCTTTTTGCATGTTTGGTACAGAGTACAAGACATGATTTATCCTTCTAATGAACGAGATTTTAGCTAATATTTGTCCCGAACAAATATACTATTTGGCATTAGACGCAGCAAGGGACGTCAAATTTGCTACAGGATAGAATGACTTCTTTTCAGCAGATTTTGTTTTTCCGACAAAAACAACTTTGACATAATGCTAATTTTTAATCTCTTATTCCTCTCAATTCTTATTAAGCAGTGGCAATTCCTAAAATAGTCTTCAAGTACGTCTCAAAAAAGAGTTCAGTGCTTTTGAAACATCCAGAATGTGTTTGGGGTAAGATACAGAACATAAGTCTTCAAATTTTCATCAAATATGACTCACCATCAAGAAAATAAGTCTCAAATAGATACTCTTATTTTAAATGAATGTTATGCTAAAAGAAGAACGAAACAAAACTGTTCTCTCATAAGAAAATTTCGTAACGGTATGAAAAAGAATATTTTCAGTCATCAATTAAACATTGTTTCTGGGTTTCCTTGAAATATGTGAATTATAAATACTTGGCTAACCATGGCAGCTCCTCGCTATCTTTGAGTGCAAAAATCACATCATCACTGTCAACAACAAAAATAGTCACAATTAGTACGTGTTGTTCGACGATAACGCAAGTATTCTACTGCTGCCATGGTAGGAAATGAACTCAAATTCCGATGCCAGCACGCCCTTCCCCTCAACAACAAAGAAAAATTTTCAAATACGACAATGAATGGTTCACTACACCGACCTTGGAAAATTGAGTTGCAATTTCTGCAATTTGTGCTTTGCAGCCGGCTCACACAATAATATCCTGCACTCCCCAAGCTTGCATCTGGCCATTAAAAAATAAAAGAAACTTAACACAATTAATTACTAAGTAATTGAAGTTCTGAACCATTTGAAGTAGATATCATCTGTTTGATTGGAAGCTTATATTCATATCAAAATAGCATGGTATCATTAGAATTACTGAACTAAAATACTTGATTGTGTTGTGTGTAACAGGCAGAAGAAATCACAAAGCATTCGACCAGGATATTTTAGTTTGAAGACCATCAGTTCTAAAGTCTGAATAAAAATTTTCAATCAATGCTATAAACACCATCAGGGGTGGAAGGAGAGCCTATAATGCAGCTTAAATGAAACGTAGAAAATGGTTACGGATAATCTGATGTAGTTTTACCCGACTTTCAGTAGTATGTCGTATCCTGGAAATGTTTCCCCATTGCTTGTGCAGAAACACGAAACAGTCATTGCCAACTGCATACAAAGAAGCATCCTTTAGACAAAATTGCATTGTTTCCAATCATTCCAACACCCCCAACCTAACTGAAAGTAAGTGGAAAGTTCTCTTTTCTTTTCTTTTTTGGAAGGGGAGAAGGGCAGAAGGGGGTTTGTTCAATAAGATTACAATTCCACTGGACAATAGCATGCACAATATGAAAGTGGCTTGTTTATAACCAAAAGCAGCAAGACAAGCTTAAGCAAGTAGACCTTTTCAAAAGTGGTTTCACCCATCCCTGTCTTATAAAGTTCATGCACCATAGCAGCCAAGAAGATTTTACTCAGTTTAGAACTACTCCTGATCACCTGGGTAACAAAAAAGTAACATGTAATTATTTCTTGTAAAACATAATTGAGGTTTTACACGGATCCAAGCAAGCAGATAAAATTTTCGTCCAATGTAGGTGGTAAAATTTGTCATGGAAAAAAAATGTTCATTGAACTCTTATATATTGAAAAGTACCAGGCTTAGACCCTGGAAGAGTGAGAAAATTCTCAAACTCACTTGAATATGAGGAGCCTGGAACATCTCTTTTATGGCCACTTCAACATCTGCCATACCAACAAGAACCTTCCCTGAATGAGAAGCAAAATGAAAGCCTGTCAACCCAGCAGAATTATCTTCTGAAACAAGACATATAGTATAATAATGGTGGCTGCACTCTTATAATATCAAGTAGGGAGAGAAAACTTTGGGGAAAACAAGGAAATAAATGCCTGAAAGCTTTTGAAATTGCTAAGCAAAAAAGAAAAGGTTATATTTCTGAATCTCACAATCAGATTAAATTAATTGGGGATGTTATGAATGTCGCATGTCAAATTTTTATGCAGTTATTACGAAAAAGGGAATAAATTATTATGGGAATTATATTCAACCAACTCCAATCCTTTTACCCTACTAAAATCTTAGACTATTTCATAAGCCTTAATCATTGAGTTATCTATTTTCCAGGAACATCTTAGATGGGTGAACTGAAATGGCAAGAAAATATTGGAACATCAATTTGGACACTTCTCTGGTTCCTATCCCCGCCACGTTCTCTTGTAAGGTGAATCCATGAGGGGCCATCATCAGTAGTCTCATTTTATCGTTGAAGTACCAAGCAATGCATGTGTGACACCAGATAATTTACTTAAGGAATATAAGTATACGAGAATGCTATACATCATATAGAGTGAAGGAAAAAAAATAAAAAATAAAAATGAAGAGAGTTGGAAAAAAAATAAGAAAGAAATTTAAATAGATCTTTAGTTGGATGTGATTTTAACAACTGTAGCATTTGGTTATGGTCTTCCTCTGCCTGAAGTATCTTCTCTACCATACTGCTAAAACTATAGAATCATGAATTCACAATGAAGAAAGCTCTCATTGCAGAATGAGATTAGATGCTATATTGAACTTAATTCCTCTCTCAATGGAGTAAATTCATGGCACAGAAAAGGTCTCCACAAGATTTCCAATTTAAAGAAGCTGAAGTACAAGGAAAATAACTGTGATATTAGAAGATGTCTCTATGAAGTAACTATTCAATGATATATTGAAAGGCTCAGTAGGATCAATTGATAGAGATACAACAAAAAGCACACAATGCACCCATCACACTGGTGATCTATAAAACTGGAGCTGCTTTACCAAAGCAGAATCAATTAGAACTAAACAGGTAATATTACACTTAAGATGCAAGACTGATAGTGAATTTACATGCTAAATGCTTTGGCACGTTATGCTCCATTGGAGCCAACTCATCCTGAATTCAACAGGGAATGTCGGAAGATCAATTTTTCATTTATATGGTACAATAATCCTCAAGAATCACTACTTATATTTGATGCCCTCTTAGTCGTTCATCTAAGTTTCTAAAGTGAATTGTCCATACTTCCTTTCAGCTATGCAAGCCAAATATGGAATTCGTTGAAAGGACTAGATCGACAACGTAGAGATTCCATTCATTCAATAACCTGTTTTCCCGTGCAAGAACATGCAGTTTTTGTCTCCAAAAACACATCAAAGTTACAAAGAGAATTTATCATCTTCAGTTTAAATTATAAATACATAGAAATGAGTGGTTATAAGTGGGTAGTACTTGTGGTCGTGGGTCCCATGAAATGTGTTGATAAAAAATGATTTGACCGATTATAAATAGCTTATTAACATTAGCCAAACATGGGCTTAGTTAGAAAGCTCGAGAAATTACGACCATGGAGCAGTAGTTTTATACTTTCTACTAGTGAATTACAGTACTCCAAAGGAATCACACAGCCAAAGTATGTCTTGCCTGTGGCTGCAGAATTAGAAAGTGATGGTAATCTTTTACAACGATAATCTGCAAGCTCTGCAGCTCGTCTACATATCTCCAATGCACGGCGAGCATCCCCTGAAACAGCTGCAACCTGAATTCAAACGCAAGTAGATATCAATGCAAGCCCTTTTCGTGTATCAAGTTTAGTGGGATGGCAAAGACTGGTGTTAAAAATGTTATGAAATGAATAGAAATTGGACTTACCTTCCTTGAAGCAAATTCAATTGCTTGTTTTTCAAAAGCATCAATTCCTCTTAGGCGGCTTAAAATTATTTCTTGAAGCTGCAGATAGTTATATGGACCAAAGCAAAGTCTTTGTATGCCCATACGACTAGAGATACGCGGAAGCAATTTCTCTGGAAGATCCATGGTGTTTGCTATCCCTGAATAGAATTCAGGCAAGAAGCACAACAGAAGCAGGGTCATTAATGAAAACTTGATTGAAATAATCGATGACAGGAGAAAGCAACTTACCTATCACAATCAATTTAGAATTTGGCTTGTTGGGCCAATCAAGGATGTTGTATAGAACCTGTTTAACAAGTTAAATGGAAAAATTAAGTAAAATTGATCAAGCCTTCACTTTAATTTCTGGTAAATGTGAAACTTATGCTAAACAATTGTATAACTCAACTGATTGATTTCTGGTCACAAGAAGATCAAGTTCATCTATGAGGAGGATACAAGGCCTTATCTCTTCTTTCCTACATTTGGTTTCATTTGAAAATCTCTCATTCAAGGAATAGAGAGCTTTTTTCCAACCAACTCTGTGTCCACTCAATGCTTCGTAAATAACCTGAAGCAAATTAGAGATGTTATATGGCAAAGTGTGGATGCTTTTAGATACTGCAAATTACGTCAGTCAACTTTAATCCCTACAGTGTAAATATTTTCAGGAGAAGCCAATTTTAGACCATTGATCTCCACAAAACAGTAAGGCTGAATGCTTCCAGCATCAACCTCGGACCTTAGGTTCCTCATCACAGAAAGAAAGCTCATTGTCTGCAGTTTGATTAGATTAAAGAAAAAGTTAGATTTACTCTGACATAAAATAGTATATACAGAGCTAGCCAACAAATGAATGCATTATCTCTTCATTTCTTGTTGTTAAAGATTTTACCTTGCCAGTACCGGGAACACCATGAATGTATAGGCATCTTCCCAGGCATTGATCATCACATATGGCCCCTTTAATAAAGGCAGTTATCTCATCCATTTCCCTGAATAAAGAACATTTTATTAGATGATTATTCGATAAAATCATTAAATAGCAAGTCTTCAACTCATACATACTTATCCCTACAAGGTAGAGACTTGGGCAATGTTGCCAGTAGGAGTGTAGCTTTTGCCTTTTCCAGAGCAGTCTGCTTGTGACACCGAACATGCTCCGGTATTTTTTTTGCCCCAATTTTTTGAAGTCCAAATATTCGCCCCTTTCTGGAGTTCTGAATATGTAATGTAAAAAACAATTAGTTCCACATTTCAGTCAACCACAAAATCACGTGTCACAAAATTGACTATCATACTGCAGCCATTGGATGAGCTGAAGATGGTCCAGTCAATGTACTCCTTTTGTTCTCCTCTTCATATTCTATGTTGTCTTCTGTGTCAGGGTCCGAACCTTCACATGAATTCCAGTCTTCATCACCATCAGCTTCTTCACCATCCTACCAAATAAGATGAGGACCTATAAATTTCAAAAAAATGGAAAGTCTGCGTGATTGGAAGCATCACTACTCACCTCATCGTTATTGTCAATCTCTGCGATGCGCTTGAAACTACGCCAGCGTATATCATACTCATATTCACATAGAAAGACATCATCTCCTTCGTTGCCTGCCTTGGCAAACTCTTTGGGGTTCATTACATAGCAATGCCTAATGATAGATTCCATCTACAAAATGAACACTTTATACATTTAGAGAGTGAGGCAGTTATCATCCCTTGAACGCAGACATCTTTGGATTTGGTTTAAATATTCTCCTCTGCTTTCAGAACAAAGGTCCCAGTGTATATATTTCATGAACTTGAATATTTCAGTCTCTTTAAACTTCGTCTTAAATGTTTGCTTGGTTGCATTATCATGGAGCCAAAAAGCATATGCATAAAGATGTCTTAGATAATTTCGTAGTTCAAGGCTTCCAATGTGATATCCCTATCATTGCTACTAGAACAAGAAAGACTAAACAATTATGAATGTCTAATCTTAGTAGACAAAAAATAAATAAATAAATAAATAAATTGCTTCTGAATAACATGCTGAATAATTATTTGGCTGCAGTAGAATCCATGAACAAAGCCCCATAGATAAAGGGCTTGTAAATATTTCAGTGAATCAACTACAAATACAATAACAACCAAAAAGAACATATATCACCTCAACATCAGCGAAATCATTAGTTTGATAGAGTTCCCTTCTTAAATTATGAGGCTGTCTCCCTGAAGATGTCTCCTCTGGAATAATATACCACCGTGCGCGAAACCAATAAGTACCATCCGCTTCTTTCCATAAACTAAACATTCCAAATAATCACATATAGTACGTGAATAAATTGCAAAATGAATGTGACTCATGAAAAGTAGATTAACAGACCTCTCAATATGAGCAGCCCACAAATCGCTGGAAAGCAGCTTCTCCCGAGCAGTCCTAAGCCTCTTCCCGTTTGGAGGCTCTGGAAATTTCACCATTGCCCCCGATTTTCTTGCGGTGCAAAAATTACAAATCCAATCCCCTTCTGGAACATCCTTTAGTGGCGGCCTCAAACACTTCAAATGAAACCCATTCAAGCAATCATCACACTCAATCATAATCCTCCTCCCAGACGGCTTAAAGCACACCCTACACTCCTCCACCTCGGGATCCTCCTCATCCGAGCTCGCGTCCTCCCTCCTCTTCACATACACGTCATCTCCTGCCGAAAACTCGACACCATCAAACACCACTTTCTTGTAATACATTCTCTTCTTACTTTTAATAGCATTAGCTTTAGCACTCCTCAAGATCCTTTTTTTCTCAAGATCCATGTCTTGATTTTCGGTATTTTTTCTCCTTTTTTTGGATTCGGTGGGTTCTGGCGAGGTTGGAGAGATGGAAATGGTGAAGGATGGCGATTTGGGGGCATTTTGGTAATTTCTTGGCGGCTTGGCAGTGGAATGTGGCGATTTTTGCAGGGAAGATGGTGGCGGTGGGGTGGCGGTGGCTGTGAGGCGTATGGAGCGGCGGAGAGAGGAGTTGGGAGTTGAGGGCACGATTAGGTGGTCAGGGGGGGAGGTGGGTTGCTTTTGCTTTTGTTCAGGGGTCCTGTTAAGGTTCTTGGATTTCTTGGTCTTCGGTGTATCGGCCATAGTTACAGACTGTGGCGGAAAGGGTGGCGGTGGTTAGTGTTTACGGCGGCTAGGGGTTGCGGAATCCAAAGGGGAAAATAAGAGGGACGATAAGAGCGTTGAGTGAAGNGAAGTGAAGTGAAATTGGCGGGAATATTGGGTTGAAAGTCACTTATTAAAATAATAATCAAATGAAAAAAATTAATTATTTTGAAATTTGCTTATTTTACATATATTTCTGTCACCACTTCTAATAAATATCGTTTCATACAGAAATGCTAAGAACAACAATGGCTGCTCTCTCTCACTTCCCTCTCACTCCTCTTCTCTCCAAGACTCCCATCACCACTATCAAAAACCTATTTTCTCTCTCAAACCCCAAAACCCTTAAACTCTTTTGCAGCCTCAGACCGTTATCTTCTCTCTCCTCCAACCCCAAAACCATTGACCCGAAATTCCTCTCATGCTGCCTGCCTAATAAGAAGCCTCTCAAAGTGGCTGTTCTTGTCAGCGGCGGTGTTGATAGTAGCATCGCTCTCCGACTCCTCCACGCCGCCGGCCATTTCTGCACTGCTTTCTACCTTAAAATCTGGTTCCAAGTATGTATTTTTTTCTTACGCCCATCAGTGAACCCAGATTTGTTTGTGTTTATTTATGTATTTTGGTAAGATTGCCTGTCGTAGAACTGGGATTAGCCATGATTTTTCACTAATTATCTTTAAAGGCCCTGAATTTTTTATGCTGCCAAACAAAGCATAACTTTAATTTGTTTACAAGGGCTTGTTAATTTCTGGGGATTGAAGTCTCGTGATTATTTGGAGTTCAACTTTTGTAACAGTTCTGATTATTTATTTATTTATTTTGGCTTGCTCTGTCATTGAATTAGGTATCAAGTTTCTCTTGTTGCTGTGAATCTTCATTTTGCTTGAGCAAAAAAATTCTATGCACCCAAAATGATGTGAGCTAAGAATGCAATTAGGTTCCAGCATCAAACAAATTCTCGACAGCTTTAAAATTATATATTATCTAATAAAACATTCCTTTAAATTGACAAACTAGGTGATAATTATTCCTATTGTCACATTTGGTTCAATGTTCAAAATTAAGTGCAAAATTAGAATAGATAGTAGCTGGTAAAGGTATTATGGTGGATAACATTCCTTGATCATTTTGTTAAAAAAATAAAATAAAAAAATGACATTTATAATAGTTATCTTATCCTATATAAAACCATCTCCATCCTTTGATTGTGTTATACAGTTGAGAGTGAAAATGACATTTTTTGACTACAGGATTAAAGAATATTATCCACCTTAATCGACCTTAATAACATCCCCATACTATTATCATTTATCCATTCTAGTTCTATATTAAATTCTTTATATGGTCTATCATGGTGCACTAAACACAATCTTAAAGTCTAAAATTATGCTATTAGGTCGAACATAAAGCTAATAATTGCATATAACTAAGACTCATGAAAAAACTTTCTCAACTAAAATATTTTCCATATATATCTATTCATCTATTATTTTGTCGTTATTTTTGTGAATTACTGTTAAGAATTGAATCTTCGACCTCAAAATTATCTTCGACAACTGATTTCATGGTTCACCTGTGTAGATATAATTTATACAAATATAAAAAAAAAATACTTCGGCTAGTTTGAAGCCAAATTTACAATGCAAAGTATAATATTTCTCTTAATCAACTTTAGATGCAAAAAATGACGTCAAATGTATGTTTAGGTGATATGACGCCCATTTGGTCCGTTTGACAGCATGAAAAGTGTTCATCACCTTTACTAGATGTAGCAACAATTATTTTTAACACCACCTCTATCCAAACATTGTGCTGCTTTATATCTCTTGTCAGGTCCATCCTTTTTTAATTTTTAAGCTAGCCGAATGAGCTCTTTAGCGTCATAATTTGTTATTCAGAAGCTAACTGGGATTCTGGGAGGTTTGATTTTTTGAATTGTTTCAAATTGCTGATTCTACAGGCATTTCTAAAGCAAGTTGATCTTATTTATACTTATGTTCCTTTGACTAATTTCATGCATTTCTAAAGCTCTAATTGAATGGTGATAATTATCTTTTGTAGGAAGACTTTGAGAATTTTTGGTCTGAATGCCCATGGGAAGAAGATATGAGATATGCAAAAGCTGTTTGTGATCAGGTTATGGTTCTCCTTCTCATATTAGGCATTTTATTTCCTTTTGAGCTCAACCTAAAACGATTTGAGAATCTACCTTGAGATTTCTATTGGAGCTAATCTTCTTTTGAATAGAAGGGAAAGAATGCATGATCAATATTTCGATCGTCCCCTCCCATCAATCAATTTTTTGAAATACTGAACTACTATCCAATAATTTTCTTCCATAATTATGATATAAAGACACAACCAACTTAGCATTTGTCAAAGATATGAGTATGGTCTTTTCATGATAATATTTTTATTTTAAAATCCCAGAGACTGGACTATAGAACTGATGCAATGGTTTATGCCTAATGTAATTGAATAAGTTCAATATTTAATTTTATTCCACGTCAAAATGAATGTTGAGGGAGGTTCTTTGTTGCCAATGCACTAAGAAACAGTCTACCTTATCTTGGTTGAGATGCATCTCAACTAAAAGATCTGTATTTCATTAAGAAATTTTTTTGGTTGTTTAACCTAGTCAGATGTTAGTTTAAGATACATCTTATTTCAGGTTGATGTCCCTTTGGAAGTTGTACATTTGACAGATGAATACTGGACTAATGTGGTATGTTTCTCTTTTTTCTTCCCTTCCGAATCTTGCTCATGCATCTTCCTTAAGTGCTGTCGAATCAACATATTTTTAATTCTCTACAGTCTCACTTTTTTGCACTTTCTTGGATTAAGATAATTTGTGCTAGATATGCCCTTTTTGTAGAACTTTTTCTATATTTTGGCAGTTAATTCTACTCTTTGTTACAATTACTTGGCCTGTGCATATCGAAATTCTTGGCTCCGCCCTGGTTTGTACAGCATCATTACTACCGCTTTAAGTTTTCAAAACCCTTATTTTTCTTGATATGCAAATAATTGTAGCCATTTATTCGCCACCTAAACTGTGGTTATGTATTGCTCCTTAGAAGACTAGTCATTCATTGTTGTATACAGGAGGCCCGGCCCCACCTACTTCAACTAATCAAATTCACTTTTGTTCTTTTACATTTCATTTTTTATTTTACTACCAGCAGGTCCAGCATGACCCCTCCTCACTGCCTTACGAAAAGATAATATTGTTTTCTAAGCAGACGGGTATTATTTGGTTTACATTTCAGGTGTCATATATCATTGATGAGTATCGACATGGCCGAACCCCAAATCCCGATGTCCTTTGCAATACAAGAATAAAGTTTGGTCTGTGATCTAAATCATATGAAATATGTTATCCAGTGTATTATTTAAATCATAGAAGGTTAACTGTCTTTTTTCTCCTTAATATTTTTTTCCTTCCCACAATAGGTGCATTTATGGATGCCATAGGTGGTACGAAATTTGACTTTGTTGCCTCTGGACATTATGCAAGGGTTGTTCATGGGGATGGGGATCAAAAAGACAAGCTTTCTATTTTGGAACTGTCAAAAGATATAGTACGTATGTGATAGTAGTACATATTTATCTGTCTATGGCAACCATAGGATTCTTGCTTTGATTTTCTTAATAAAACCTGCATGTTCTTGTGCCTGCACTTTTCATGTTTCAGGTTAAGGATCAAACATACTTCCTTTCTCATCTCTCACAATCCCAGCTTAAACGGCTTATCTTCCCTCTTGGGTGCATTCCAAAGGTTAGGTGGGAATATTCATTGATTTTTGTACTATTGTTGATGTGCTTCTGTTTCTTCTTTATAGCCTTTCTCATAGAAAATTTACAATTTTTGAAAAACTGCATCTTTGCTACTGTGACACATTACAATTAATTGGCATGAATCCTTCATTCTCAATAATTTCCCTGTGCACACTTGCAGGAAGTAGTCCGCAGGCTTGCCCAAATATTTGATTTACCTAACCAAGACAGAGAGGATTCCCAAGGAATATGCTTTCTAGGCAAGGTATACTTTGCCGTCAGATATATATGTAGATGACTACTTGCAGATGTGATGATCTGTTGCTAAATTAGATAGCTTATTTTTTCTTCTTGATGCTAGTGCAGTTAAATTTTCTCAATGTACTTAATAGTTTATTGTATGATTTAATGCATGACCTGTTACTTACCATAACATTTGATTTACTTGAAGGAAATGATTGACTAATTGTAGCTCAAATTTTGGTCTAATTTCGGTCATTCAGGTTCTTAAAAATTGCATTTATTCGGAAAGAGAAATTTCAACGCTGGCTTCTCAGGAGGGTTTTATGCTAATTTGTGTCATCTAAATTTGAATGTACATATGAATTGCAGATAAAGTTTAGTGAATTTGTTGCAAGACACATTGGGGAGGCAGAAGGTATAATTTTGGAAGCTGAGACAGGAGATTTTCTTGGAAAACATCGAGGATTTTGGTTTTATACAATTGGCCAACGTCAAGGATTACGTCTTCCTGGGGGTCCTTGGTACGACTCTCCCATGATATCTTACTGGCATGTATCACAAGTATTTTAGCACCTCTTATCATCTTTATGCAATGCCCCCTGGCAATGACATTTGTTTAAGTCACGCAAGGAAAAAAATTAAACTGCTCAAATGGCTTTTTGACCCAAATCCTATTTTTTGTACATTTAAGCTGAATATTTATGTTTTGGTCAATAGCTTTAAATTGTCATGCCGTGGTGCTGACCGTCATGGTTATCAAGTTAGTATCAATATCTTCCATTTTCAAGTCTACCTAAAAATTTCATATGTTGTGCTCTTAGACAAGCTCACTAATCTTTGAGTATTTCCAAATATTTACCTGAAATTTATTTTATGCAGGTATGTTGTAGAGAAAGATGTTAAAAACAATGTAGTCTTTGTATCAAGAAACTATTTCTCAGTTGACAAAAGGAGGCGTTTATTTCGCGTTGGATCCTTAAAATGGCTTAGTGGGTCACCTCCAAGCCAGATAAATCAACTTCAATGCAAGGTATGAAGTTCAATCCTTGTTACATTCACTGTCTGATTTATCTCAGACCACAATGCTGTCATTTCCCTTGTATAGAAAAACCATCTCATACACTTTAGACAATATTTCTTATTTCTCTAACTGAAAAAGTATTATTCTTGGCCTGATTCGTCTTCCTCTTCTATCTTTGAAGAGGGCCCATTTGTTGTAGTTGCTTTTTTTGACTCTCTTTCTTGGGTTTTTAAATTGACTGTTATTAATCTCCACTTATGTGAATGGAAATTTTTTCTAGTGAGAGAAGTTTGTCATGATGTAATGATCTATCAATTAATGATTTGTTGCGCTCAATGTCCATGCCGAGATTGCTACGTGCTTGTAAACACCTTCTTTTTTGTTAGATGCTTGAGAGCAGAACTTCAAGTTTTTAATGCAACATGGTTACTGTCAATGAATTTCTTACGTATTTCAGGTTCGACATGGCCCGAGTTTTTATGATTGCAGTTTGGCAATGGAAGTTGATGGAGATGGCCATGAAATTGCAGTTGTCAAACTATCCGAAGATGATCAAGGCCTGGCAGCTGGGCAGTTTGCCGCCTTCTACCAGGATAGGATGTGCATTGGATCTGGTGTGATCTTGGAGTCATGGAATGACCAAGGGTTTCCCGTTTGTTTGAGGGCTCTTGAGATTGCCGATATGGAAGATAAATCAAAACTTGGGAATCCAGTCAAGATAAAGGTAAAACCAGAGATCTGTAACGAAGAATCTGATCACAAAGAATGTGTCAATCTTAATTGAAAATCATTACCTCTGATAGAAGAGTGATACCAAAAATGAAGGACAATGTACTGCTTCTAGACCTATAGTTATAGGTGCTCAAGGTTGCACATCGGACGCGTCAAAAGTTTATGAAGCTCAATTGGTGGGATTATAAAAACTCATGCCAACAACACCTGAAGATGGTCGACAGTAGTTACATTTTGTTAGATTAAGAAAGTTATGCGAGCAGTGAATCGGGAATATGCAGATCCAGGCAACATGGATTGTACAAATAGCTGCTTGTCTTGGCCTGGTCAGGTCAGGTTCTAGACTTATGGTTGGCATATAAACTGCTTTTACCTTTGTATTTTTAGTCTAGTATTCTTTTTCGGCTACCACTCAAAGAAAACTCTAGGGACACACCAAATCTGTTCCTATGCGACAGTAATAAAAGACTACTATTTTACTTAAAAGTAATTATAGTTTTTCTTTTAAACTTAGCCAAACATAAAATTTGTGACTCTCTATGTAACAACTTATTTTTTAATGCGTTCTTCATTGTTTGTACAATTTCCGAATATCTGATTGGGTGGGATTTCTAAGGTTCCAAATGATCTTATGATCCTATCAAGCAATCACATTCACATATTGGCCTTATGCAGCTTGGATATTTGGTTCTTGTTTGGGCAGCCATTCGTCTCTATCAGTTGCTTTTGAAGGAGGCGTCGGGTCTTTTGAATTCGACCTTTGGACCTAAGAAAAAGGTAGTTTGAGACTTTGAGGGCTTTGGTTACAAACAGTGCTCAGCTACTCTCACCTTAAAATTCAGTTTTGTCTTCACATTGTATTATATCGTAAGCTTCTTTACATCTGATGTTGCATGTGTATTTCCTGTGGTCCGTTCTGAATTGAATTATTTCAAAATTCATTTTGTTCTTTCTTCAAAGATTTGGTAGGTGAAAAATTTTGTTCTTCTTATGTTCATCTTTTTGTTTATTTGCGCTCAAGGATATAAGGGTTTTCTTGAATACACCAGGTAAAAAGTGAAAGGTTTTATATTGTCACCACAGTTTTCATGTTTGCAGCACTTCTTTTAATTGAATTCACTCTATAATTTTTGGTAAATGCTCTACATTTTTATTGCCACGAAAGTTCTCGAGTTTGCTCATATATATCCACTTTTTTCCATCAAATTTTTATTTTTGAACTTCAATCAAATAAAATATCTGGTCTTTTATCACTATTTTCCTCCAAATATTATGTTAACATGGAGAAAATATTTGGTAGAGCTTATATATTTGTTGTTTGTATTTTTGCTTATTTAAAAATGCAAAGAGCAATTATAACATGGTGTAGTTAATTGTGACGGGTGGGAATGCATTTATCCTATTTACGAATATGAGAGGAAAATAAGTCTTTTATGTATCTTTTTAATGGACGAAAATTGATATCGAACACAAGATGTGTTAAGTAATGAAGTGTTGAGAATAAAAGTGAGATGAAAAAGTTGAGAATACTGAACAGAAATGAAATAACAAGATGTGTTAAGTAATGAAGTGTTGAGAATAAAAATGCGATGAAAAAAATTGAGAATACTGAATAAAAGTGAAATAACAAGCAAATGTTAAAAAACGTATAGAACAATTAAAAAGTGATGAACCAAAAGAAAAATATGATAACAATTCTACTGTGTGTTGTATGTTCAATTGATGTTCAATTAGTATAATTGATGTTGTAGGGCTAAATGTTTAGAGAGAGAGAGAAAAAAAAAGGATTACAAATACATAAACTCATAAAGAGTCAAAGATTAGAGATCATATGACTTTTAATCGTAATATACATTTTAGCTTATTAATTGTAAATCTCCTAAAATGTGATTAAAATTTAATGTTGACTTTATCTTATATTTTAATCAATATTTTAAGTTGAACCAAACATGGACATATTAATAATGTAGAATCAATATAAAATGGTTGATCTTAAAAATAAACAATAAATATGTAGCTTATTTTTAATGTGAATTTAATGCTTAATTCATCATTTCAAGCAATTGAGTTGTAGTCAACAGCATAAAAAAGTATAATATTCTTGTTCTTCTTTGGGTTTCATTATAATTTATTTATAATGAAAACCAAACATTAATCATCTCCATTATTTAGAGCATGTTTGCGAGAGATTTTTTANGGGTTTCATTATAATTTATTTATAATGAAAACCAAACATTAATCATCTCCATTATTTAGAGCATGTTTGCGAGAGATTTTTTATCTCTAAAAATTAATTTTTTGACTGTTATATCACTATTCAAACCGTAATTTTTGACTTTTTCTCTCACAGATAGACACCAATTTTTTTCTAACAGTCAAAAAATCAATTTTCAAAATCCCTCCCAAAAGGACCTTTATACATTTCATGAGACTCATTAATCATCTCCGTTATAATATCCGTGTAATTTTTACGGTGTACACGTTAGAATGTCAACTATTTAATTTTTTTCATTGATAATGTTAATTATTGACGGACTTGATTGCAAAATAGCGAAATTTTCTCAATGGTGATTCGTGGACAGTAATACTCAGCAACTCTGAGTTTGACACGTGGAACGATTTGATTCACTGTCCAGTAGGCTTACAAACACCAGCACCACAGATCTCCAAATCTTGCAGACTGTCGGTCAGACGGACTTCTCTAAGCCAAACAAACCTCCACCTGTCCCTTTGCGGAAGCCGTATATTCCAATCCTCATCTCCACCGTCGATGATCATAATCTTACGGTCCATATTCACTCTCTCTTTCATTATTGGAAAATTTTCACTATCGGCCCCTAACCTATTTCCTGAGTGTATATCTGGACCTCAAACTTTAGAATATGACAGATTACTCTTAAACCTGTCAGCACAAAAATCACCAATGCCAAAATTTGTCTAAATTTTCGTTAAATTGTCAAGTGACTGTCTTCTTCTTACTTTATAAAGCTTCTTCCATTTTTAAATTTGGACAAATGAATAAAGATGTAATGTGAAATATTTTTTGAAGGAACGATTTTTTAGTTTTTGACGGTTTTTACAATTATAACGAAAGTTAAGAAAAATTTGTTTTTTTTGCTAATGTCGTCGACGAACAAGACCACTAGACCAAACCTTTCGATTTAACTTAAAATAATAAATTTGTAGATCAAAAATTGAAAATATAGAACTTGTTAAAATCACACAAAAACTCGTTGATTCAAAGTTAAAATTGATTGATGAATAATTAGAATCAACCTATTCATCCCAATATTGGCTGTTTATGCCAAAATGGATTGGTTCACGCCACGACATGACTCTATCTTTCTCGAGTCAATGTTCGAACCAATTTTTTTATTTTTTATTTATTTATTATTATTAATTTTTTTTTATATCATTTTTCAATTGAATGGACAACTTGCTAATGAAATACTAAGATGAGTACCAAATACCCATGTTGCATTCATTTCCATTTGCACGTTCCTTCTCTAACACCACACAGAGAGTGGGAAAAAGTTGGATCCCATCGCCACCAATCTGCCACCGGTACACCACCGAAAAACGCCGTTGAAAGATGGCGTCTTTAGCACTCACCTCCTCCCTCAACCCCCGCTTCCACCCACTCTCTACTCTCAAACCCCGCTTCCCCACCCCAAAATCCCTCCGTTTGAACTCAAGATCTGTCATAAAAAACAACGTTAACAATTATGACAAACCACTTAACTCTCAACAACATAGAGATCTCAATCCATTAATTTCACAAAAATCGGCATTCTTGATTCATTCCCCGAAAAGAGACTCAGTTATAGTCAATTCCGCCCCTGGAGCTGCCACGTCAGCTCCTCAGCAGCAGCCATGGCAGGGGGCTTCTATGAAGCCACTTATAGCGTCTATAGCTACAGGAGTTATTCTATGGCTTGTTCCGGCGCCAGACGGAGTATCGCGCATTGCGTGGCAGTTGTTGTCTATATTTTTGGCTACCATTGTTGGAATAATTACTCAACCATTGCCGTTGGGAGCTGTGGCATTGATGGGTCTTGGCGCTTGTGTTCTGACCAAAACCCTCACTTTTGCTGCTGCCTTTTCAGCATTTGGGGATCCGATTCCTTGGTTGATTGCTTTGGCCTTCTTTTTTGCACGTGGATTTATTAAGACTGGATTAGGAAACAGAATTGCTTATCAATTTGTTTCGTTATTTGGAAGCTCGTCTTTGGGATTAGGCTACAGTTTGGTTTTTAGCGAAGCCCTTTTGGCTCCAGCTATTCCCTCAGTTTCTGCCAGGGCTGGAGGGATTTTTTTGCCATTGGTGAAGTCATTGTGTGTAGCTTGTGGTAGTAATTCAGGTGATGGGACTGAACATAAATTGGGGTCATGGTTAATGCTGACATGCTTCCAAACTTCAGTGATTTCGTCATCCATGTTTTTGACAGCCATGGCGGCGAATCCATTGGCCGCCAACTTGACTTCGAGTACAATAAATCAGACCCTCGGGTGGATGGATTGGGCGAAAGGTGCAATTGTGCCCGGATTGCTGTCATTGATTGTGGTCCCATTGCTTTTGTATGTGATTTATCCACCCACTGTGAAGAGTAGCCCCGATGCACCTAAGCTTGCGAGGGATAAATTGGAGAAGATGGGGGCCATGTCAAAGAATGAGCTTATCATGGCTGGAACTTTACTTCTCACGGTATAATTATTGAAAACTTTTGCCTAATTATTAATTCAAAGGTTTACTGTTCCGCTCATCCTTTGATTTTGTTACTGATCTTGTGCCTGCTCTATTTTTGTTTTGAGATTTAGCAATTCTTGGTTGAATGTGAAGAGGTTACACTTTTTAGAATTAGATAACTCATATTAAAATACAAATCTTGAAAGACGTTGTATTATTTTGGTAAAGAAAGTTCAATTGAGATTCAGTTGTGGCAATTTGGATACTGGACAATGTATTATAAATTTTTTAGCCAAAAAGAAAACGTCATTATGCTTAAAAGTCTCCTCTTCACCAGAGAATGAAGCTATGGTCTAAGGTTTCTTTTTTCGAGCATGGACAAGTTGCTAGGAAGGCAGGGCATGTTGAATTGCTGATTATCCTGAATGAGTTTTAGAAGAAATGCAAAAACATGTCTATATATACAAATTTATAAAATAGAACTCGTCCATGCATGTGTGCTCATGCGCGTGCATATACAGTTTGGTTTTGGTTTTTTGAGTTCACAGCTTCTGTTGGTAAGCATGTTAGGACACACTTGACGCCCGTGCATTTCATCACTTATTTGGTTGGACATTTTGATTTTGTTGAATCTTCTGTTCGCAGCACGACATTATTCCACGATTTTCTGCTGATACTGGAAGAAATATTTATGTAATGCTTTTGTTCTTTCAAGTTTCAACCACTTGACTGGGAAATCATAATTTAAAGAACTTATTGTATCACATCTTTATTGTAACCTATTCATTTAGATCAATAAAGTCGTTCAAGCCAATACTTGAAGTTCACTTTTTTTTCTTCTATGTAAGGTATGGTGGCCTACTCTACTTTTGACGGCACTGCTATGGTGCCTGACATAGATTATCTGTTCTATGCAACATTTGTACTAAAGAAAAGATCTACATAGAAATTCTGCGTACTTCTTGTAAAATTTCTTCCTGCAAATTGAGGTAGCTTGTTGTCATTGTTTAGAAATATATACACTCACAAAGTAATTTATTTGACTCTATGGGTGAAATCTACTTCAAAAGATATCAATATCAGAGAATTATTCTTGTGTGACTTTTGAGTCTTAAGAGTTGAATTTGATTACTGTGCACAACATACATATATGATGTAGATTTGTTTAATTTCTAGTCTAAATCATTGGATTATGTTGCTTGTGGCTTTATCTTCTGATGTATTTGAAGTATTTGCTATTGCTTTCTTTTACTCTATTTCGTGTGACTTATCTGAACTTGATCCTTTGAGTTGATTCCTTATTTGTTTCTGATCCTTTGGAGAGCTACTTGATGAAATGACCTGCCATTTAACTTTGGAAATGACAGCAATATCTGTTTCAGTCAAACACTAGAATCATTAATGTTTTACTGTTTGCTACTCTTATTTGTGACCTGCTAATCATTTACTATACATAACTCTAGAAAATGGTTTCTGATCCAATTTTAAATTTTTAATCTATCAGTACCTGTTGGGTTGCCATGACAATGTAAAAAAGCACTAAATAGATTGGTACTTCGACAAACATTTTATCTGAGTATTAGTGTGACACACCATCATTGTCTTGCTTTTGAAACTTGGAAGAGACTTGGTGGGTTTTTTCTGCCTACGGTATGATTTATTCATGGAGATGTGATAATATAGAATATGGAGAATTGCTGGGCTTTAACCCATTAAGAATGACCATGTAGAAAAAAAAAAGTATATTGCCATTGTTGCATTCTATTCGAAGGCAATGAGTGCACTGCATAATTCTGGTCTTCTCATGCAATGCACTAACGAATTATTCTGTTCTTTTGGCTTGATTGCTTGTAAAATCACTTTTCTTGATATTTCTTCTACCAGGTGGGGCTATGGATTTTTGGAGGTACCCTGAACATCGATGCTGTTACTGCAGCAATTCTTGGATTAGCTGTCCTCCTTGTGACTGGGGTTGTCACGTGGAAGGAATGCCTAGCTGAATCCGTTGCTTGGGACACACTTACTTGGTTTGCTGCACTTATTGCTATGGCTGGGTATCTAAACAAATATGGACTCATCTCCTGGTTTAGCCAAACTGTTGTTAAGGTTGGTTTTATTTTATTTCTCTAAATAAAGTGCATCAATTTTACATTGGTAAAAAACTTATATAGACCTGAGTCCTGACAACCAGAGTTTCTAATGGCTCTTAAAAACTTCTAATTGTAATAACTTTTGTTCATTTTTCCCCTACGATGAGCAATAAGTTATGACACTTGATGTGATCCAATATATAGTTGGGGTTTTATTCTGGTAGGGTCGAAACATGAGATCTCCTAAACCCATTAACTGTCAAGTGCTTTATTATTCTCCCATGACTGGGCATGGCCTCCATGAAACGTGGAGACATATCCCTTTTTCTCTTAGTGGTATGCGTATAAATATTTAAATAAACGGAAACTGCTGGTTTGCTTTGTAGTTTCTGCAATTCCATCTTTCACTTGTTAGGTTCCTCATCTGCTCTGCATTATGCAACGAAACATTGAAACTATTTTAGGATGATAAACAATATTATTATTGTGTCATTACGATTTTAACCAGTTACTTTTATTGTGTTCTTTTGGAATTTACTTGAGCATTACTATGTGGAAATCACGATTTATATTTCTTCGTCATTTTGCCTTTCCATTTTCAACCCTTGGAAAATACATGGTATAGTTTTATAAACGTATCTGCGTTTCGGACCTATTTTCAATGTCCCTCTATCCTATAATAGTAAAATTTTAATTTTTAACATAACTTCATCTTTCTCATTGGAACAGCTCATTCCATTCCGTTCTAGTTAGCCGACTTATTTTATATGCTTTCTTTGCAGTTTGTTGGTGGATTGGGACTTCCATGGCAGTCATCTTTTGGCATTCTGGTTCTTCTTTACTTCTATTCTCACTATTTCTTCGCAAGTGGGGCTGCTCATATCGGCGCCATGTTTACAGCATTCTTATCCGTAGCTAGTGCTTTGGGTACACCACCATATCTCGCAGCCATGGTCCTCTCCTTTCTGTCTAATCTTATGGGTGGCATTACACATTACGGAATTGGATCAGCACCCGTGTTTTATGGCGCTGGCTACGTGTCACTTGCCAAATGGTGGGGCTACGGATTCTTGATCTCCGTAGTCAATCTTATTATCTGGCTCGGAGTTGGAGGTGTTTGGTGGAAGGCCATCGGCTTGTGGTAGACCATCTTCGTTTCAGTAATCGTACTTCATCACCTTCATCTGCTATGGTTTTGGTTTAGTATTCGAGTCTTTTTACGATCAAATTGAGGTAGGCTTGGTGGCATCGGAGGGACATATGGTAGTATATACGTGCTATTTATGGCTCAATTTAGGATTGTGCTTGAATTTTGACATTGAAATTGCATATTCCATTATTTTTATTGAATGTCCCATGTTTTTTTTTTCCTTTTTTGTTCCTCTTTTACTTATGTTTTGATTTAGTGCACTGCATAATTCTGGTCTTCTCATGCAATGCACTAACGAATTATTCTGTTCTTTTGGCTTGATTGCTTGTAAAATCACTTTTCTTGATATTTCTTCTACCAGGTGGGGCTATGGATTTTTGGAGGTACCCTGAACATCGATGCTGTTACTGCAGCAATTCTTGGATTAGCTGTCCTCCTTGTGACTGGGGTTGTCACGTGGAAGGAATGCCTAGCTGAATCCGTTGCTTGGGACACACTTACTTGGTTTGCTGCACTTATTGCTATGGCTGGGTATCTAAACAAATATGGACTCATCTCCTGGTTTAGCCAAACTGTTGTTAAGGTTGGTTTTATTTTATTTCTCTAAATAAAGTGCATCAATTTTACATTGGTAAAAAACTTATATAGACCTGAGTCCTGACAACCAGAGTTTCTAATGGCTCTTAAAAACTTCTAATTGTAATAACTTTTGTTCATTTTTCCCCTACGATGAGCAATAAGTTATGACACTTGATGTGATCCAATATATAGTTGGGGTTTTATTCTGGTAGGGTCGAAACATGAGATCTCCTAAACCCATTAACTGTCAAGTGCTTTATTATTCTCCCATGACTGGGCATGGCCTCCATGAAACGTGGAGACATATCCCTTTTTCTCTTAGTGGTATGCGTATAAATATTTAAATAAACGGAAACTGCTGGTTTGCTTTGTAGTTTCTGCAATTCCATCTTTCACTTGTTAGGTTCCTCATCTGCTCTGCATTATGCAACGAAACATTGAAACTATTTTAGGATGATAAACAATATTATTATTGTGTCATTACGATTTTAACCAGTTACTTTTATTGTGTTCTTTTGGAATTTACTTGAGCATTACTATGTGGAAATCACGATTTATATTTCTTCGTCATTTTGCCTTTCCATTTTCAACCCTTGGAAAATACATGGTATAGTTTTATAAACGTATCTGCGTTTCGGACCTATTTTCAATGTCCCTCTATCCTATAATAGTAAAATTTTAATTTTTAACATAACTTCATCTTTCTCATTGGAACAGCTCATTCCATTCCGTTCTAGTTAGCCGACTTATTTTATATGCTTTCTTTGCAGTTTGTTGGTGGATTGGGACTTCCATGGCAGTCATCTTTTGGCATTCTGGTTCTTCTTTACTTCTATTCTCACTATTTCTTCGCAAGTGGGGCTGCTCATATCGGCGCCATGTTTACAGCATTCTTATCCGTAGCTAGTGCTTTGGGTACACCACCATATCTCGCAGCCATGGTCCTCTCCTTTCTGTCTAATCTTATGGGTGGCATTACACATTACGGAATTGGATCAGCACCCGTGTTTTATGGCGCTGGCTACGTGTCACTTGCCAAATGGTGGGGCTACGGATTCTTGATCTCCGTAGTCAATCTTATTATCTGGCTCGGAGTTGGAGGTGTTTGGTGGAAGGCCATCGGCTTGTGGTAGACCATCTTCGTTTCAGTAATCGTACTTCATCACCTTCATCTGCTATGGTTTTGGTTTAGTATTCGAGTCTTTTTACGATCAAATTGAGGTAGGCTTGGTGGCATCGGAGGGACATATGGTAGTATATACGTGCTATTTATGGCTCAATTTAGGATTGTGCTTGAATTTTGAAATTGAAATTGCATATTCCATTATTTTTATTGAATGTCCCATGTTTTTTTTTTCCTTTTTTGTTCCTCTTTTACTTATGTTTTGATTTAGTTATTGTTCTAGACTCTAGCAAAGTAGGAGATAGAAAAATAACGTTATTGTTTCCAAACAAGCATATTGAAGAAACAAAAAAATTAAACTTGAAAAGTAAATTTGAATTAAATATAGTGTCGAGATAAGTTCACGTTTGTTTTTTAATTAAAAAACTTGATAAAATTTAAATCAAAGTCAATAATCAATTTTAATTATATATTTTATGGGGTTTACAATTTTTTAACAATATATTTCATCAAATTTTTATTAAAATCTACTAAAAATTTGATTTTTAATAAAATTAAATAGGGTAAAAGAAGATTATATGCATATTCCCATCAACCAGATGAAAAGTTTCTTGCTTTTATTGAGGAGGTTTTGTAATTGTGCATTTAATTTATGGCTTGTTACTTTGATTGAAAAACATACAACTTTTTTCAACACAAGATTATCAGACTTGGTTTTTGATTAAAAAACAAACCACATTTTCTTTTTTAACACAAGATTATCTTTCATTTAAAACTAGGAAAAATTCGAGTCCACGTCGCATTCTCACATGAGTTCAATGCCATTAGGTGCTAATCCAGACACATGATTATACCTCCATAAAATTTGACTATATATAAAATAGTCATCGCCTTATCATTTTTTTTTCTGTGGAAGAAGCTATATTTGCTTTCCCTTCAACACATAAACCACTTTTGGTGAGTATATTTTGAACTTCAATTTCCTGTGCACCCGAGCAACATTTTGAACAAGTAAATATATGATTTCGATATTATCGCAGAAAGAAATACTATTCTATTTTAATATTTCAAAAAACGATATGAATCCTACTCAAAATAGCACCACTTTGCAATAGTTCCNCAATCAAACAGGTCAAAAGTGGAAGTTGGAATTCGAATTCCAAGTTCCATGGAAAATTTCGTGCAATCAAACGGGGCCTTAGTGTTTCTTGTCATCGTTAAATATGAACTATCATTATTTAGTACATTGATATGTTAGGAAAAATATAAATACAATTTATAGTTTCAAGATATTATTTGAGTTTTATTGATTGTATGAAAATGAAAACAGGTATGGCCTCATTTTTGGTTAAGAATATATTTTATAATAGTAGATTGATGCAAAAATATGTGGTTAAAAATAAAAAAAAAATTTAATTTTATGTGTAATATTATTTTATTAAAGAACGGGAAAAAGAAAAAAAGAAAAATGTTGGAATGGGATCAAATATTAATTTTGGATTTACCTTTTCATTTTTTCTTTTCTTTATTTTTGATGTATATAAGCGAAATAAAAAAGAAACGAAAACCTTAATCATCCAATCACTCACTCAAACGGAAACCTCAATCATCACCATCATCATCCACCCTCGTCCTCCCCGCACGCCTCCGCTCCGAGCACTATTTGTGCAGAAGCCCTCCATTTTCTCATTCCGTAGGCGGCCACGCTTATGAAATCAACGCCATTCGCCACCAACAACGCCGTCTACCACCATGCCCACATCAGCACCACCACCGTCAAATTATCCCACCCGTTCCGAGGACTTGATCGGACGGCTAAATTCCGTCCTCACACCCTACGAGACCAAGCTTAAAACCCTAAGAGAGCTCAAGAACCAGATCATTGGTAATCGGACCAAAAAGCTTGCCTTTTTGAAGCTTGGTGCTGTCCCCTCCGTCGTCTCGATCCTCTCTTCCGCCGTCGCCGAGAACGGAGGTGGCTCCAATTTGGAGTTCAATGAACCTGTTATAATTCAGTCGGCCGCAGTAATAGGGAGCTTTGCATGTGGGCTTGATGCAGGAGTTAAGGCCGTTTTGGATGCCGGGGCATTTCCTCTTCTGTTTGGTCTAATCTCTCATCCGAACGAGAAGGTTTTTAGTGTTTTCATTTTTTACTCTTGAAAAATTTTAAGAATCAAGTCCATTCTTTTTCTTAGGTAATAAAGGTGTGGGTTTTTAATATGCATCAGTTGGCGTCGGAAATGATAGTAAATTTTATGCAATTCTGGAATCGAATTAATAGGGAATATATGATGATGAACAAGGAGCAGCTTGAATGTATTACAGTTATTTTCAATTTTATTTCTTTTTCCTTCGCCAGAAATATTGGAAGTTTTGAGTTAGTTTTTGATATTAGGTAATGTTGTCAGTTTATCTATATTTGGAAAGAAATATAAAGAAATGTTGTCAGTTTATTTCTATATTTTCTGTCGATTTTAATGAAAGATGGCACTAAAATTTTGGTATACCAAGGGAATTGAGTTAATTGTGAATTTATATGTAATAAATGAGTCTGGCTGATGTCGTTTTTTGATTATGGTTAATATAATAAATAGTTTGAGTTCATTTTTTCGCTGTCTTTTATTTCTCTGCAGAGTTTAGAAAATGGATACTAATTAATTGATTGAATTATTTTTTGCAGTATGTGCTATGTGGCATGGTCTAAATTTTTATCAGCTTATAAAATGTTGGTGCTTGTACAATAATATTTTAGTTGTTATAATGTGTTTAGCTAAATAAATTAAATTATTGGACGGCGATGGAAAAGTAATTATGAATTTGCAGTAGTTGATTTTGAGTTGATTTTGCAATCTGCATTCAAGTAGATTTTTTATTTTATATTTATATAGGTGGGATTATTTGTGTATGATTTGTCAAACTATATGTAATTTTAATGTGGGAAATTAAGCTAAATTAACGTTGAAGAGTCGAATTCATGGTGTGTAATAAACTTCCGTTGACATTCTCATCTCATATTTGTAGGGTTTCTTACCCTTTTGTTTATCTCTTTAATTAAGTGGTTGCTTAGATTTATCATATTAAAATAATTATATATTCAAATGGGTAGGCCAGTTCTACGTGATTTTTCTTATCAAAAAGAGAAGATAAAGAAAGAAGAGGAAGTGTAAACTGGAACTTGTCGATCAAATAGTGCATAGACAGGCCAATTCAAGATTCTAATCATATTGTCAAATTTATTAACTCTGATTCTACTCCAATCCTATTGGGAATACATGCAAGCTTTTCCCAGTGCCTCATAAAATTGAAACCATTTTTCTGCAGGTTGTGGACGCCAGTGCTCGCTCCCTTAAAATGATTTATCAGTCAAAATTGGCTCCTAAATATGATTTTCTTGTAGAGAAAAATATGGATTTCCTCCTTTCACTATTGAACAGCAAAAATGAGAATGTTACTGGACTTGGTGGAAGTATCATCACCCATTCATGCCACACAAGTATAGAGCAGGAGACATTGAGTGAAGCTGGAGTTATAAAAATGCTCATTAATCTTCTTCGAGGTTCTTTAATTCAGAGGGATGCTAGTTTAGAATCTCTTGGAGCTATAATTAAGGAAAATCCAGGAGTCATTTCAAAGTTTATGGGACCTGAAAATGGAAGAGCACTGAATGTTGTGACTGAATTGATGAAGGATAGGTATCCTCGGACGAGATTGCTAGCCTGTATGTGTTTGATCCATATAAGAAACGCTTCTCTGCGTTATCTTCAAGATGCAGGAATAAAGACTAAATTGATACTGATATTGTTCGAGCTTATTGATGATCCCGGTCAAGTTGGAGATGAAGCTCCCTTTGCTTTATCTAGTTTGATTGCAGAAAAAGAGGATCTACAGAAAATAGCATTTGACTCAAATATTGTTGATAAATTATGCAACCACTTAGAGAAAGGGTCATTTCAAGCCAAACGCCTACAGGGGATATTTCTAGCATTGGCTGACTTATGCTCAAAGTTGGAATTCTGCAGGGATAGATTCCTGTCTTTAAAGGTTAGTTATACTTGTGAACCATAACTTGGGGTGTAAGTGCTCCGGTTTGGCAGGTTTCTTAACAGATTTTCCAACCAAAGCTACTATAACGATTTGAGAAAAAACCCACCCAAACCTAGACCACACCAGTTAAATTGGTTTGGGACCTTCTCAAATATGGGAATATAGATTACTAAAATCGCACAACAATCTATTTTTTCGTATTTTGAAGATTATTCTATTCCTGGCTATGGGTAATCGGTGGAAAAATTTCGAAATATTCGATATTTTGACCTAAACCTAACCGTTTTGTCTGGTTTTAAGTCCGCAGTTTGGCCGTAGTCGGTAGTTCATTTGTTATAATATATTTCATACCTTATTTGCTATTAAATTATATATATGTATGCATAGAAATGATCTACTAAATTAACAAATTTAGCCCCTGTTTGATTCTAAAAATTCATTTTTTCAAAACTCATTTTCAACCACATACTTTTCAATAAAATAATATTACACGCAAATTCAAATTTTATTTTATTTTTTTAATTTTTTACCACACATTCTCCATCAATCACTATTTAAAAAAGTATAATTTCCCTCAAAATGGGGCTCAAACAAGGGCTTAATTTAATTTCTAAGACCATCAGAAAGTTATCCACCAATTAAGTTTTTGAAATTTTGAGTGCTACTTGTACTTATGAATGCAGGCATTCAATTTTTTAACAAATGTGCTGACTCATGATAGTCCTGAAGTACGTGCTGCAGCTTGCATTTGCTTGAAAAATATTTCACGCTCTGTCAAGGTTCGTAACATGAAATTGAAACAAAAGATTTCTGAGGCTCATGGAATATCTGGTGCTCTCTGCTAATAAAATATGATTCAGAATTTGAGTGCAGGTCATTTTATGAATGAAACTGTCATCACTCCCTTGGTTCGGCTTTTACAAGACACCTGTACCTCTGTCCTGGTATACTTTGTTTCAAATTTTATTGACTTTCCTATTAACTATATTTGTAGACTGGCTTTGACGTATGGCTATTTTTGTTTCTTGTCTGCGTTTTTTACCCCAGTTTACTCAATCCAGTTGGTGTTTCTTGTTCTGAAGGGATCAAATCATGAAATTTTTAAGATCTAGAATAAGTTGAATAAATCGTTGTTTGTTGATGTGGGTTGGTTGATGAGAACTTTGCGATCTTATCGTGAACAATGCAAAGCATGGTTTCTGAGGGAGCAGAAGATGGGAATATCAATGTTTGCAATGCAGTGGATCATTGGGGAAAGTATGAGGACGATGTGGTCTGCAAGTGAACAAAGTCCCTTCCCACAGAAGCCTATGAATACCCATAATTATTTTAACTATGAAAATATTAACTAAGTCTCTATCTTCGTTTTGCGCTAACTGAAATCTCAGTGTATATCAGAATTAATAGGATCGATATCAAATTCGTGTTACCTGGCTAGTTAACGGATAAACTAACAAAAGGTTAACTGTTCTGTGTCAAAAATATCTTCATATGTTTGTATTATGGAGATCAATCCAAGGGTTATACTATCATTGATCTGTTGATTGCCAGCTACTCTCTAGCTTTTCCTGATTAACTAGTACAAAGAAATTATTAACTATTCATTTAAGTGGTTAAGTATCATTTATTAAGAATATTGACAATCTTACCATTCTTGTATTGGTGATGCATGCATTTCAAATTACTAGACTCTGATGCACGATAAGAATGCATCATTATTGTTAGACTTGATAAGATGTATGCCACATACTATTAGACAACCGTGTACGCAGATAATTAACAAAATTTTGTCAGCATACATAATAAGTAGATATGGTATAATTGTGTTGTACAAGCACTTCAATTAGGGTAGTGTTCGTGTCTTACATGCGTCGAAAACATGTCGCATACTGACACTCCCTAGACACTATCAGGTTCATCCTCTATTTTTTTTTTTTTTTTTAAATCTGAAATATTATATATTTTTAATTCAAATTTATTATTAAATAACAAATAGGTATTCATATTTAGAAGATTTCAACAAGGAAAAAATTAACAATAAGTATAAAATTAAATTTGTACTAGATAAATGAAGAATTTAATCAACGTGTTGTCTACGTACCGTGTTAGTACTTTTTTGAAAAATAGCGTGTCGGTGCACGTGTCGTTATCCGTGTCGATGCATCATAGATCTATAAAATAGATGTGCACATGAATATCCTAAATGCATCTTCTGGTAGTTTGTTTATCCTAAGCAAGGCCAGTCGAAAAAGTACAAAATTTTTAAAGCAATCTAGAAACTGTTGGTGTTTCAAATTACATCTCTTTCTTCAAATCTCTCCCACATAATTTTAAAAAAGAACTGTTCCATATTCTGAATTATGTCATATACTTGCCTTAGAGGATCATTTCATAGCAGCTTTGCTGAACTATTTCTTTAAAACTCTACATAGCTAATATCTCGCAGGCGTTGTTTGTATTTCAGTTTGTCCATCTTCTATATTTTGAAATGTATTCCCGATAGAGAACTTTGAGCCTCCAGTCGGGGTGGGAGCCTGGTTGAGAAGCATACTCCACTGTTTTTCAGTTGATTTAAATAAATACTTATGGAATTTCCTTTAATTGCATTGCTTGAAATATTCATTGATCTCTATCATAATTCACTTTTCTACAATGTTCATGGAGAAACATCTCCAGTTTAATAATTTTTCACAAAGTTTCCTCCATTAGTTGTCGCTTTTGTTTTTGGCTTACTGAATATTCTTAATTAAACCATTACTTTTCAGATTGCGGCCTTGGGTGCCATCAGCAACATTGTGGTTGATTTTACTGTTCACAAGTCGAAATTCATTCATTGTGGAGGCGTGAAACAGCTTGTTCAGCTATCAAAGTCAATGGATTCAACCATTAGGGTCAATGCTGTGTGGGCTTTAAAGAACCTGATGTTCCTCGTAAACAGCATGTGTAAAGAAGAGATTCTCTTGGAACTATCACCATCTATGTTAATAAGCCTTATCTGTGGTAATTGTTATGCAGGTATTATAATAAAAATGCTGCACTCATATGATACTCTATTTACGGTCTGCAACTCCATTTTCTTTGCAGACCCTGAAACATCTGTTCAAGAGCAAGCTTTGGCTCTTGTTCGCAATCTCGTTGATGGTCCCATGGACTCCGTTGAGTATGTCTTTGCTGAGGAGGGCCTTCTGCTGAATGCTATTGGAAGACAACTGCAAAGCGCTTCAAAAGTTGAAGTCCTGATTCAAGTAAGAAGTGATTTCTCATGTTCAGACTTAGGTCTCTGCTTAAAAAAAAAAACCTACTTTATGTGTGCCAGGGGACTGCTGTATTTAAAAGTTGGTTAACAGCCTGTAGTGCAGTATCTCATGACTGCACCTTTTACTCCGCAATAAATGAAATAATTTCCTAACTAAATAGAGGACAAATAATTAACAGATAAATGTGCATTAAGTTGAAATATGTGAACTTTGTTGTTTGATCTGGTCAAGTGTGTGTTTTTTCCATTCCCACGAAGGAAGGTACAGTGGCTTCTCTTTACCTTGCAAAGTATGCCTTGTGTTTTGGTCTTTATATAAAATTAAAACCAAAGTATCTTCTTCTTTTACTCTCCACAAGGATGGAAAATCTTCCTCTCCAAGAGGAACTCATGGGGCTCAAGTGTACTGTCACCTAATTCATTTTTACTATTAATTTTCTGTAGTCTTTGTAAATTCCAAAGTCATGAACTCTAGCAATCCCAATGTGAGCATTACTCAAGTACATGCAACATATTTATGAAGGATAAAAGAAAGAATGCGCCTTTTATTTTATAATGGGTTATACTAATTCACACGAGAAATCCACTTCAATGAATGGTGGGAGGAAAGTAAGCATCGTCATTTGCATTGATGGACAGCATTTACCTTGCATAATATTGGTTACAAATTAAATTGAAAGTTTTGATGGATGTGAGCTAATGACTCAAAATACTGTCACATGCTTATCAAAATTGGACAGCTTTTACCTTTCTCATGTCAAATAATCTTTCCTCACATTAGTAAAAAGTACATATATAATGGAACTGCACCAATTTGCTGGAACTAGATTTTTTGTAATGATAAGCTTAGATATGCTAAATGACTTGAAAAAAAAAAAAAAAAAAAAGGGAAGAGAGGATCTGATGTCA